TGTATATACATTTCTTTTAGACATAATGCTATTGTATACTTCATAGGCTATAGTATGGTGTAAACATAACTTTCAAATGCACGAGGAAACAAAAAAATTCAAGTGGCTCACTTTCTTATGATACTCATTTTCTTGTGGTGGTCTGGACTGAACCCCTAATAACCTCAAGGTATGCCTGTATAGTTTCAGCACTTAGATTTAGGTCTTTGATCCATTTTGAGTTAATTTGTGTGTGTGGTGTGAGGTAGGAATCTGACTTCATTTACTTGAAATGTGGATACCCAGTTGTCGCAGCACAGTGTGTTGAAAAGATTATTGTTTCCCCCAGTGGTTTGTTTTGGCGCTCTTGTCAAGAATCAAGTGGCCATTGTTAAAGTTCGGTGCTCACTGCTTTGGCAAGCTGGATTTGTTCCCCATCACAGAACACCACCACCTGTCTGTCAGTTGCCATGCTGTGGTGGCAGCTCACATAGAAGTAGTAGAAGGACTTACAACTAGGATATACAACCATGCTCTGGGGCTTTGGTGAGAAAAACAGAAAGAGGAAGATTGGCAACAGTTGTTAGCTCAGGGCGAATCTTTCCCTGCCAAAAAAGAAAAAAATCAACTGGCCACCAAGAGAATGAGAAAACAAAGCATACACTAGGAGAAAATATTTGCACAAGACATAGCTGATAAAGAATTGTTATCTAAATTATAGGAAGAATTATTCAAAATCAACAATAAGAAAACCAACAACCCAATTAAAATGGGCAGATCTGAGCAAATGTCTCACCAAAGAAGATGCACAGTTGGCCAATAAGGCTATGAAAAGAGGCTCCATTAGGGCATTGCAAATTACAGCGACACTGAGACACCACTCCACACCTGTTAGAAGGGCAAAAATCCAACACACTGACAACACCACATGCTGCTGAGGATGCAGAGCAGCAGGAATGCTCCTTCATTGCTGGTGGGAGCGCAACACAGCACAGCCATTTTGGAAGAGAGTGTGGTAGTTTTTTAGAAAACCGAACATACTTTTACCACATGATTCAGCAACCACACTCTTTGTTATTTTCCCCAATGAGCTGAAAACTTATATCCACACAAAAACCTGCACATGGATGTGTACAGCAGCTCCTTTTATGATTGCCAAAACTTGGAAGCAACCAAGATGTCCTTCAGTAAGTGGATGGATAAATCAACTGTGCTCCATCCAGACAAGAAATGCTACTCAGTGTTAAAAAGAAAGGAGCTAACAAGCTGTGAGAAGACATCAGACAACCTTAAATACATATGACTCAGTTAAAAAGGCCAGTCTGAAAAGGTGACATATTGTCTGACTCGATTCCAGCTATATGACATTCTGGAAAGGCAAAACTGTGGAGACAGAAAAAGATCAGTGGTTCTCAGGGGTTAGTGGGGAGGGAGGGATGAGTAGGTGAAGCACAGAGGATTTTTAGTGCAGACTGTAATAGTGTACACATGTCACTATACATTTGTCAAAACCCATGGAATGTACAACACCAAGAGTGAGCCCTAATGGAAACTATGGGTTTAGGTGATAATGAGGGGTCATTATAGGTTCATCAATTACAACAAATGTACCAATCTGCTGGGGTGTGGTGAGAGTGGGGGAAGCTGTGCATGTGTATATGAGAACTCCACCTTCTGCTCAATTTTGTTGCGAACCTAAAACTGCCCTAAAAAATGAAGTCTATTTTTAAAAAATCAATTGGCCATAAATTTAAATTGGCTACAAATTTTTACAAATTAATTGCCCATATTTTTGGACTCTCAATTCTATTCCATTGATCTATATGTCTATCCTTATGTCAGTAACACACTGTCTTGATTGCTGTAGCTTTGTGGTCTGTTGAGAAATCAGAAAGTGTAAGTCCTCCAACTTTGTTCTTTGTCAAATTGTTTGGGCTATCTTGGGTCCCTTGCGTCTCCACATGAATTTTAGGATCAGCTTGATAATTTCTGCAAAATAGCACTTGGGACTGTGACAGGGATTGCACTGAATCTGCAGACCGATTGGGGAGGATTTCCGTCTTGACAACATTAAGTTCTCCAGTTCAGGAATGTGGGATGTCCTTCCACTCATTTAGGTCTTCTACTTTTTTCAATATGTTTAGTAGTTTTCAGTGCTGAAGTCTTGCATTTCTCTTGTCAATTTTATTCTAAGGTATGCTTATACATAAATTTATTCTTTTTGATGCTGTGGAAGCAGAATTGTTTTCTTAATTTCATTTCTGGATAGTTCATTGCTGGTGTATAGAAACACAATTGACTTTTGTATATTGATCTTGTATCCTGCACCTTCACTGAACTTGTTTATCAGTTCTAGTAATTTTTTGTGTGGATTCCTTGGGATTTTCTCTACATAAGATCGTGTCATCTGTGCTAGAGACAGTTGTACTTCTTCCTTTCCAATCTGGATTCCTTTTATGTCATATTCTCACCTAATTGCCATGGCCAGAGCCTCCAGTGAAATGTTGAGGACAAGTGGTGAGAGGACATCCCGAGGTTGTTCCCAATCAGAGAGAAAGCTTTCAGTCTCTCACCACTGAGCACAGCAGCCGGGGGTTTTCGTAGATGGTCTTCATCAGTTTGAGGGCGGTCCCGTCTATTCCAGCTTTGCTGACTGTTTTTCTCTGCGTCTGTCGAGATGACCATGTGGTTTTGTCCTTCTTCTATTAGTATGGCATATACTACGTTGACTGACTTTCAGATGCTAAATCAATCTTGCATTCCTGGGATAAATCCTGCTTGGTCCTTTATATGTCACTGGAGTCAACTTGCTGGTATTCAGTTGAGTGATTCTCCCTCTATATTCATAAAAGATACCGGCCTGTGTTTTCTTTTCTGTGATGTCTTTGTTGGGTTTGGTATCAGGGTGATCCTGGCTTTGTAGGATAAGGTGGGACGTGCTCTCTCTTTGTGTATTTTTTGGTGCTTTCTCTTCACTGCATCTTCATAGTGTTGCTCTGTGTAACTGCCTTGCTCAGTGGGATCCAGCATTTGGCCCAGCCATATTCCTGGACGTGTACAGTTTACTGTATCAACCATGCTTGGCCACGAATATCCGTTGGATGTTGGTGCTCGTGAAGCGGTGTGTGGTTAGAGCTCCTCTCTGGGTAGATAAAGTCAGTAAGTGTTCCGAAAGCATGCCTATCAGCTCTCAGGTTGTCATCAGCAAGGCCTTGGGGGAGCTCCTGTTACAAAATTGCTCAAGCCTCTTGGTTGGAAATGCATTTTTCTGGATTTTTGTCAAAACATTTCAGAACAAGGAACATCTGCTTAGTTGTGTTTCGGCCACAAGGAGTGAGGTACGGGAGATGTCATCCCTGCAGGCAGTGGGAGCCCATCTGAGAAGTTCCTCGAGACGATGTCAGCCAAATATCAGAAGAGGACAAGGGGGTGGGCTCAGGCAGTGTTCTAAGTGGCACCATCTTGTCTGGGAGTCCACCATCCTGTCACCAGCCCAGTGAGCCAGACAGCCTGCAGGTGCCCCTAAAGTCCTATTCCGCAAACCACATAGAAACCTGACAAGACGGAGAAACTTCTGGGGGAAGAGGATATCTGTTTTAGTTGTGCATTGCTTGCACAGATTGTCATCATTTTTCTGTAAACAACTTCACACGCTGTCACACCAACCTTTCCACTTTCAAAGAAATGGGAAGAGCAGAAGGACAAAGACCCCTCAGCCCCAGGAATAAATCAGCCTGAGGGGGTTGTGATTGTCACGTGGTGAGACCTGTGATGTGTCATCCGTGATGTGGGGACTGCCTGGAGAAGCTCAGTCCACGCTACTTCTCACGGATATCCACAAGTGGGGAGCTGCCGTTAGGGTCCTGCAGGGTCCCCCAGGCTTGACAGGTGCTCCTGTCTAGAAAGGGCTGCCATTGGTGGCTGAGGGGCTCTAGGGGTGCCCCCAGCTGGAGGGCTGAGGTTATCCCCAGGAGTCTGCTTGCCTCCTTTCAGGACATCGTGTGCAGCTACAAGCTCAGAACAGCCAGCGTGAGTCCTGCCAATTCACAGAACAGTCCCCAGAGCTGCACACTCCCTCGTCAGCGGATGAGTGTGGCTTACTGCCATCCCGTTGTGCCCAGAGGTCAGGCACTGCCCAGGGCCTCTCAGCCAGATTCATACCCTCGTCTTACCAGCGTCTTGCCTGACGCCGACAGCCCCACAGTTCCCAGTGTTGAGGGGCCCGGATGGTGCCCAGCTGGTGGAGTACCTGTGTTGGGATGAGGGTTCAAGGAGGGTGTCTGCAGCAGTGGAAAGCGGGCGGGGTCCAGACCCCACCAGCCCCGACCCCAGACCTGGACCTTAACCTTCACCAGCCTCCTGAGGCCACCCCTGGGTTTCCTCATCTGTGAATCAGGCACAGTAATAGGGTTTCCCTAGAACCTGAGGATCTCTGGTCTTGACCGTGTGAGGTGTGGGTAGTGTTGGCTAAATGCCTGTAGGACCACGATATGGGGTCCTGTACCAGATCTGGCAGCCTGGGGTAGGGACCGGCGTAGACTGGTGGTGGCAGCGACAGCTGTGGTGGCAGCAAGGGAGACAGCAGGTGAGCTGCAGGAAGTCATGCAGGACAGACTCAGGCCAGAGAGGAGGTGACGGTTTTGCTAATTGGGGACAGGGGTATGGTGTAGGTGGCTCTGGCCACAGTGTGGAGGCGGGCTGCAGGGCCTCGGCCTCAGGTGCAGGGCCCAGAGTGTGCCCCACTCCCACCAGGCACTGATACACAGCCTGGCAGGGCTGGGAGAGCGGGCATCAGTGCTGCTGTCTGAGGCCAGGTGGCCGCTGGGCCAGAGTTGCTCCTGTTCCAGGTCCTGGAGCCCTGGCCCAGCTCCCAGGAAGCCTTGGGGTTCCACCCTGCCCTGGGATCCCAGACCACTAGAGCGGTTCCCAGCCAGGCTCCCTGGGGTAGCCCCCTCTCAACCCTCAGGGCCCCTCCCAAGCACACCCAGGTCCCCCTCCACCAGGCTCCCTCCCTTGCCCCGGAGGCAGGCCAGAGATCTCCATGCTTCCCTGTGACCCTGACCCTGCCTCATCCAGCCCTCCGGGCAGCCAGTGGTTCAAGGCTTCGGTCCTCAGGGCAGGGTCAGAGCAATGACTGAAGGCTGGTCAGGATCCATCTGGGCAGTCTGTCATCTCCCTCTCACCCTCATAGGTGCCCACAGCTGGCTTGGTGCTCCTCTCAGCTGCCCACCATGGGCTGGGGACTGCCCAACACCACCAGCCTGGCGCGCTTCTGCCAGAAGCTGAACCGGCTGAAGCCACTGGAGGAGTCCACCACGGAGACATCACTTCAGCGCTGCCTGAGCACGCTGGACCTGATCCTGCTGGGAGTCGGTGCTACAGTGGGCTCAGGTCTCTACGTGCTCTCGGGCACCGTGGCCAAGGAGATGGCCGGCCCTGCGGTGCTCGTGTCCTTCAGCATCGCTGCTGTGGCCTCCCTGCTGGCAGCCCTATGCTACGTGGAGTTCGGGGCCCGTGTGCCTCGCACGGGCTCTGCCTACCTGTTCACCTACGTGTCCTTGGGTGAGCTGTGTGCCTTCCTCGTTGGCTGGAACGTGCTCCTCGAGTACCTCTTTGGTGGCGCTGCTGTGGCCCGCGCCTCGAGCAGCTACCTGGACGCCATCTTCAGCCACCGCATCCGTAACTTCACCATGGCCCACGTGGGCTTCTGGCAGGTGCCGTTCCTGGCCCAGTTCCCAGACTTCTTGGCTGCTGGAGTCATACTTTTGGCCTCCACATTTGTCTCCTGTGGAGCCCGTGTCTCTTCCTGGCTCAACCACATGCTGCTTGCTATCAACATGCTCGTCATCCTCTTCATCATCATCCTGGGGTTTGTCCTGGCCCGCCCGCACAACTGGAGTGCTGATGAGGGTGGCTTTGCACCCTTCGGCTTCTCCGGCATCATGGCCGGAGCTGCCACCTGCTTCTATGCCTTCCTGGGCTTTGGTGTCATTACTACCTCCAGCGAAGAGGCCCAGAACCCAAAGCGGGCTGTGCCTATGGCCATCATCATCACGCTTGGCCTGGTGGCTGGTGCCTACATCCTCGTCTCCACTGTGCTCACCCTCATTGTGCCCTGGCACAGCCTGGAACCTGACTCAGCACTCGCTGATGCCTTCTACCAGCGGGGTTACAGCTGGGCGGCCTTCATTGTGGCCGCTGGTGCTATCTGCGGTAAGGGGCCTTTCCGGGCAAGGAGGGAACAGGGTGATGGGGCCCTGCCCTAGGCCTTGAGGGAACACAGTTCCACCCGGGCCTGTGTTCCCAGTTGCATCCTGGGCCCAGGAAGGTGCTAATGATTAGACTCTCCACCCAGGCTCGTTGGGAGGGACCTACTCACCGCCCCTGCCAATCGTACACAGAATGTCAGTTCTGGGCATGTGTTGCCAGGTCCTTTCCTGGTGGAGGGACTCAGCCTTCATCAGATTCTCCAGTGGGTCTGTCACCTAAACTGGGCTGTCCCATTCCTGGGTGGTGAGGGGGAATAATCCAGCACCCCACGTACACTCAGGCTCACTCTGAGAGCCCAGATAGACTCATGCCCCTGTTCCTAAGGGGCCACCCATGCACTGAACACCAGCAGCGACCCCTGATGGGCCTGTCCACCATGCTGACCAGTTTCCCACCCTCTGCCACAGCCATGAACACTGTCCTGCTCAGTGACATCTTTACCCTACCACGCATCGCATATGCCATGGCCACCGACGGGCTCTTCTTCCAGGTGTTTGCCCACGTGCACCCCCGGACGCAGGTCCCGGTAGTGGGCATCCTGGTATTTGGGGTTCTCATGGCTTTCCTGGCGCTGCTGCTGGACCTCCAGACACTGGTCCAGTTCCGGTCCATCTGCACACTGCTGACCTTTACCTTCGTGGCCACCAGCACTATCGTGCTACGCTTCCACAAGTCCCCTCCAGCCAGTTCCCTGGGCCCAGCCAGCCCTGTGGGCACAGAGCAGCCCTCAGCCCCTGAGCCCGGGCAGCTGCGACCAGCCCTGAGGCCCTACCTTGGCTTCCTGGGTGGGTGCAGACCTGGAGCCGCTGTGGCTTGGGCACTTGGTGTCCTGGTGGCCTCGGCCATCGCTCTGGATTGCGTGCTGGTCTTTGGGGACTCGGCCCTGCACCTCCCACCCTGGGGCCACACCCTGCTGCTCCTGCTCAGCTCCGTCGTGTTTCTGCTCAGTCTCCTCGTCCTGGGGGCCCACCAGCAACAGCGCCTGGAGGACACATTTCAGGTACTTCCTCCAGCCAGCACCCCTCACTCTCAGCCCAGCCAGCTCCCTTCGCCCCTTCCTCCTCTGCCGTGGCAGGATGCACCAGGGCTCACGGGGTAGGGGAGGCCAGAACCCCATCCCCCTCTTTCTGCATGGCAAGTGGGCACTTGTCTCTGGAACCTGCAGAGGCACAGAAAGCCTCCATGGACTCCCGAGAAATCAGGCCCCAGGCCAGCAGCCTTTCCCTGCAGCCAAGCAGCCCTGCCCTTGCCCCCTCAGGTTCCCATGGTGCCCCTGACTCCAGCCCTGAGCATCCTCCTCAACGTCTTCCTCATGCTGCAGCTGAGCTACCTGTCCTGGCTGAGCTTGTCCGTCTGGCTGCTGATTGGTGAGTGGGGGCCAGGCTGGGACCCCAGGTGGGCTGCAGGAGGAGGGCAAGCAGGGAAGCTGGGCTGGGACCTGCCCCTCAGGCTTGTGCCATCCTTACAGGACTCATGGTGTATTTTGGCTATGGCATCTGGCACAGCAAGGAGAACCAGCAGGAGCTGCCGGGGTTGACTGCCACACACGGCAGCCTGGAGGAGACAGCACAGGCCCTGCAGCCCCTCAGCCAGGACCCGGCCCAGGAGCCCGGCCACACGGAGCAGCCCAACAGTCCATGAGGACCGCTGGGGGCCTGCCTGCCCTCCTGCACCTCCTCATGCGGACAGAGGGGCTGACAGCTCCTTTTATCCAGGACAGCTTAGGTTTGCAGGCCTGTCTATGCCAAGGAGTCCTCAGGACCTCAGGACCTTAGCACAGGTGCGTAGCTTTGAGTCCTTATGAGTGGGCCGTGCCCGGAGCTGGTGTGGTGGACTCTGTCTAGCACCTTCCAGTTTATGACCAACTCCAGCTACCTGGGCAGGTGAGCCGGGCGGGCAGAGAAGAGGCCCGCAGCCCCAGGGATCCACAATAATAACTGTTCAGCCACCCCCATGGCCTGCCATCGTGTCCACTGTGGTGTTCTTTGTGGCGCTGAGTCCTCCCCTGCCCCTAGGAACCGGACAATTGTCCCTAATCCACAGCAAAGATGCTGAGGTTCTATAATGGGGAGGCACCAGCCCTGGGACGGCCCTGAGTCAGGGACATGGCCGGGCCTGGGTCCTGGTGTCCTGCCCTCAGGCCAGTGCCCTCTGGCCAGTTCAGAGGGGACCTACACACTCCTACACATACCAGGCACAGAGGGGTCCCTGACAGGGTGGGCCCAGGCTCCCTCCCAGGTTCCTTACATGTCCCCTTGGGGATGGATGTACAGAGCAGAGCCTGGACCCCAAGGAGGGTGGTTGGAAAGGACAGTGGATTTCCTGGGTTCCCTCAGTTCCCCAGGGCTCCCAGAGAGCAGAGCATGTGGCTGAGGCCCCGGGATGTGGATGCCCACCTGCCTGGATACATACATCTCTCAGGCACAGGCCCACACGGCTCCCCTGGGGGCGCACAGCCACATGCAGACTGAGGCAACAGCTGTTTCCAAGCTCAGGGCCTGCAGCTCCAGCTGCCTCTCTCCCTGCCACCGCCTCAGGGCTTTGGAATGAAGGCTCGGGATGGGACACACGAGTGCAGGTGGCAGCATGAGCACCTGGGCACCAAATGGTGGCTGCGGGGCCCCGTCCTCAGGGTCCCCAGGTCCACCCTGCACCCCCACTGGTCTCTTGAAGGCCATGTCACATCTATCATAGATGCTTCTGACTCCTTGATCCTTCCTGTGAGGACCACACAGGAAGCTACTGGCTCTGGCAGCTTTACTCCTTGACTCTCTGCAGCCTTGACATCAGCCTTCTCTGGGCCGCAAGGACAGCCAGGTACACGTGATCTCGCTCCAATAACCAGGCCTCAGGGCCGTGAACTCTCACCCCAACCCTTCTGACCCCGCCTCCCATGGACACTGCTCTGGGGATTGAGAGGCAGCAGGGACCCCAAGGCTTGGCTGGGGCTCCAGGTTCCAGATGATTCCAGATGCTGCTCAGCCTGAGCCCCAGCCCTGGGCCTCCCCCACCTGGCCCATGTCACTCCACCAGCAAGCTGCCAGCATGACCTGGTCACCAGGGACCCATGAGAAGGCAGCCCTTTGTCTCTCTGGGCTGGGTACCCCCAAATCTCTGCCCCTCCTTGGGACCAAGAGAGGGTTGGACTCCTGCAGCCCCCGTCCCTCCCCTCCTGACCGTGGCCCCAGGTACATGGGGAAATTCTCCAGCATGCAGGACTCAGGCCCCTAGGAGGATGCCAGAGCCAGAACCAGGCCAGCCTGCCGGGGCTTCCACGTGCTCTGTTAAGGACATTTTCTCCAGCCCCTGGGCTGCACCTGGGGTCTTGGTCAGAGCATGGTCCTCGTGCAGTTGCCTCAGGCTGGGTTGGGCAGCTGGCCAGACACGTTCTCAGGTGTGACCTTGGGTAGCAGTGACATATGTGTCCAGATATACAGCCTCCCCACCTTATGGCTCCCTGCAGCCCAGTGAGTAGGGTGCTTGGCTGGGGGTCACCAAGGAGACAGACAGAGGGTCCCAAAGGATCCCATGCCCACCAACTCAGCCCGTCCACCTTCCTCCCCATGCCAGACCCCCACAGCCCAAGGGCTCCACCAGGAAGGGGCTGGTGCTCACAAGCTGAGTGGTTATGGGCCCAAGAGGTGCCTGTGCCCTTGCCTGGGGTCCCAGGGGGTCAGATCATCTGCCCACTGCACTCATTCCATGGATGAGGCCTGGAACTGGGAGGGGACCTGCCCTAGGACCCCAGCACCAGAACAGCTGAGACAGCTCCTCTTGTCAGGCTGCTTTCTCCCCTGCCTTGGAATCTGGCTACACAGAACCACACTTCCCTGCCTGAGAGGCCTGGGCTGAGCTGCTCTGGCTGTGGCTGTCGCTGCCTACCACCCGTCTGCCCTGTCTGCCCACATGCACCCTGGCCTGGTCCCTCCCTCCCCAGTGAGGAGGATGTCAAAGGGGATCCCACATAGCTGGAGCAGACTCCGGGCCTCCACGCCTGAGGCCTCCCCCAGTGAGTGGCTGTCCTGGGGGCAGGAGAGTCTACTGGCCTGCTCTGCCCATTCCTGGGCTGGCCCGGCCCTCACAGGCCTCATCTTACTCATCCATTGACTCCATCCACCCCCAGCCTGAGTCCTGGGTCTCAGCCCTGTGTCACTGCTGAGGACACAGGGGACAAGCAAGTTGGGACCTGCCTCTCAGAAGCTCCCTGCCTGCTGAGGGGATGGGGACAGAAGGGTCCCTAAACAGACGCGGGAAGTGGGGGTCGGGGAGGTGGGGCAGGCCTGGGCTGCCTGAGTGAGAGGGGACTCACTCCCCCCATGGACAGGGGCCTTCCTGCCAGGAGACTGTCAGGCTGGTTTTCCAGGCATCAGGAAGGAGTTTGAGGCAGAGATGTAGGGCGGGGAGAGCACAGAGGGGAGGGGGCAGGGCGTGGGCAGGTCCAGCCCCACATTGTTGTGAAGGGCTAGGGGGGTCAGTGAAGCCAGGCCAGGCCGAGCTCAGCGAGCAGTGTCAAGGGGCATCACCTCTAGGCCTGGTGGCTGTGTGCACATATGTGTGAGAGTGACGAGGTGACATGTGGTGGCAGAAGGATGGGGGACGTCTGCTTAGGAGACTCAGACACGACATTACCTGCAATGCAAGATCCTGGAGTGCATCCTGGGTCTGAGAATAGAAAGATCTAGGAGTATGACTGGCACAGCTGGGGAAATTTAAACGTTCGATTTATCTGCCAATTTTAGATTTCTTGAGTGTGACAAGAGGACAGTGGTCACCAGGGGACAGTCCTCACTCTCAGGATAGCGTTGAGAGGGGTCAGTGTCTGAATATCTGCCACTTACTTTCCAATGATTTCATGTGACATCTAACTAAATATATCCTGGTCACTCCAGAGAGGGAGAGAGAGAGAGAAAGCAAATGGGGCAAAATGTTGGGGGGAAAACAAAAACAGCCGTGGTGAACCCAGATGAAGGCTATATGGGTTTTCACGATACTAACCTTTGAAGTTTTCTATAGATTTTGTAGTTTTTTGGATAAAACCTTAAGGGAAAATTAAAAAGGAAAGCCCCCTGTGGCGTGGAGGGAGATGCTGGAGGAGAGTGGAGTGCAGGAGGGGCTGGGGGTGAGGGGTCCAGCTGCAGCAGGGGTGCGGGGACAGGTGGGGTGGAGGCCAAAGGGCTCAGGAGGGAGGCTGGATGGAGCCTGTGCTGGGGGACCTGGAGCTGAGAGCACCCCTCCTGCCCTGGGGCCCCTCACACACACAGCAGACCGTCCAGAAGGACGGGCCCAGGGTGTGGTCTGTCCCGGACGCCACGGGAGGACAGGTGGGGGAGGACTTGGCTGAGGAGCAGCAGGCGGGCAGTGGGGCTGCACCTGAAGTTGTAGCTCCTCTCCTGCAGCTGGAAGGAGTCGTGGTGCTGGCAGTCAGAGCCCCCGGCGTCCAGGTCACAGTCCCAGGGGCCAGGGATGCCCAGAGCACCGACCTACACACAGTGCGTCACTGTTCCACCAGCACGCAGGCCCAGGGCCCTCTCTCTCCCCAAGCCCTCCTAAAACTCTGCCTCCCAGAGACCCAGCAGCAATGCCAGGTCCTCAAGACCCCTCCAGCTATGGGCATGGCCATAAGGTCCCTGATGTGGAGCACAGGGCAGGAGGGGCTGAAGCATGGGTCACAGTGGCAGCACTTGAAACAGGTGGTGTCCCAGGTCTCCAAGACATTGGACCTGAGAGGGATTGCAGCCGGGGGTTTGGGCAAGGACGGGAACAAGGAGGGTCTGGGGCCAGCCAGGACCAGCCATGCTTACCTGGAGAAGTTGAACTTGTTGAAGGTGACAGGGTTTTTGATGAACAGTGTGAAGTTGTCAGCCTGGACCAGCGGGGCCTTCCTGCAGGTGGGGGGAGGTAAGGGGCAGGCCCTGCTGGTCCTGGGACCCTTCCCTGGGTATCGAGGACACTTACACCGGCATAGTGTTGCTCTCCACGAGGCACCAGCCTTGGATCTCACAGGTCCTGTGGGTCCCACTGAACACCACACACTGGCCCGTTTTTATGCCTTGAAAACACAAGACAAATTCCAAGCCCTCCAATCTCCACAGGGCCTGGGAAGGGAGTGGCAGGGGGCTGTTGGCAGAAAGAAGAGACGCAGAGGCACCACCAGGCCTGCACGCTGGAGCCACCCAGGGTCCCAGCACGGCCCCCTGAGCCCCCATCCCAGTGGAGGTGCCGGAAGACAGGGCCCTCAGTTATGTGGCTGTGCATTCCCGTCTCCCCTTCAGGACACTCCTCGTCAGCCCGGCAGGTTCCCAGTGGATGGAGGGTGCTGAGGTGGTGAGAGAGCAGAGCTGTCCAGGCCCAGGAGGTGTCTCACCTTCGTGACCCAGCCCTGCAGGCCACAGGGACACGCCTCATCCGTGCTTAGCCCCCAGGGTTCCCTGAGTTTGGGGCACATGGGAAAGCTGGAGGGTGCAAATAAAAGGAGGTGGTCAGAGAAGGGAGGACAAGCATCCCCTGGCCAGATAGGGGTGCAGTGTTGTACCCCAAAGTAGATGAGACTCTTCTCCTGATAGTTGTCTCCCCGGTGGAGTCAGAAGTGAGCCCCCAGGCCCAGTTCCTCTAGTCCAACTCAGATGACAGGGAAGGTGGCGGGACTCTGGGAGGGTGAGTTCATGCCAGGGTGGAGGTTCTGGGAGTGGCAAAGGGTAGGACCATCCTTAGAGGGCCTGTAGGGAAGTAGCACCCCACACACTGGCCAAGGGACCACAGGCTAGTCCCTTCCTGGCTTGTTCTGCTGTAAAATAGGGACACTAGTGCCTGCTCATGGTCACAGAGTTCTTAGCATCAGCCAGGAGGGGATGGAGGCGAGCTTTCTGGGAGTCCCACACCTCAGATAGGGAGCACCTTCAAGTGTCAGGCACTTGCACAGACATGATTCTGCCAGGTGGAGGGTGGACGCTGATGTCCAGGGCCCCAGGGAATACAACACCAGGGTGGCAGGAAGGGCTGGGGACTCTGAGAAGCCAAATGAGAGAGTGGGACTTCATGGGGGTTGAGACTGTGAGGAGCAGGCAGAAGACACTGTGGGGCCTCCTGCTCTGCCCCACTGTCCCTACCTATGTCCTGAGTCTGCCCCTCCTCTCCACCCTGCTAGACCACCACCTTCTCTGAGCAGACTCCACAGTGACCACCGTGGGTCCCACATCTGCCCTCGTCCACCCCCTTCCCGCAGCCCGCGTGGTCCATCCCAATGCACAGACGACTGAGCGCCCCTCCCCGGAGCCCATCTGTGGCTCTGCTGCTGCTGTATCCACTTCAGCTCCTCAGAGGGGCTCACGGGGCCCCTGTGACCTTGGGCTACCCCTTCCCTGGCCCAGTCCCAATCTAGGGACAACCCCACTCAGTGCCGGGAGCCCTGGAGGGGGCCTCATCTCGCACTGCTCACGGCCTTTGCCCACGCAGCCCCCTCTGCCTGCACATCCTCAACATCCGGCTCCAGCCTCACACCCTGCGGGAAAGCCTTCCTGAGGCCCTGGGTTGGCTGACGAGCCTCCCTGGTTCTCCCAGCTGCAGCTTCTGTCCCCATCACAGGCCCCCCACCTGGCTGGGCTGTCTGTGCAGGAGCTCCCTGAGGTGAGAGGTGGAGTTTTGCAAGCCTGGTCTGGGGGGAGGCTCTACAGGTGTTTGCTGGAGGCTGTGGCACCACAAGGACACAGTGCATGTGCTGGGAGGGACCAGATGACCAGGACCCCTGAAAGGAGCTCGCAGGAACTCTGCTATTCAGGAACTCAGAAAGCCTGCTTGTCAGATCTGATGAATTACTTCATAGCCCGAGCAGTTTCGAGGGAAGGGCGAGAAGCCAGGGCATGAGCAAACAGGAATCACAGATTCCAGAAAACACAGAACTGTGGTCCCAGCACAATTTCAGGACAGTCTACAAACTGAACATTAACTAGACGTCTCTGAGCTTTTAGAAAAGGAGGGACATCATGAGTGTTTGCCAAACGCCAGCACATCCTTTGTGTACGTGCCTCACCTCGCTTGTGGACAGCGCCATCCAGGACCTGTGGCACCCCCAGCAACTGTGGTGGGACCAACGACCAGGACTCAGGAGACAGGGACCCACACAGTTACCCTCCAGCCCAGCAAGCGATTCAGTGTTGGACTCAATTAAAGAAAGATGTCACCATGGAGGTAGGCTTCCTGGGCTATGTCCCAGGTCCCCAGTGTTCAGACAAAATCTGCAACTGAGGAACCTCACAAATCAACAGTGACAGTTTCCAGAAGCAGACTGCTGAGGGGGGCAGAGTCCCGTCACCCACAGGCTGGAGGCCTCGGGGAAGTGACTCAGCGTGGCTGAGCCCCAGTCTTCTCCTCTTCAATGGGGCCTGCAGTACCTCCTGCCAGGCAGGGTGTTTGTGAGACTAAACGAAATGATTCACGAGAAGGCTTCAGCTCAGTGCCTGGGCTACAGCAGCACATGCTGAGCCCTCACTCACCTGGGAAGGAGGAGGGGGCACATGGCTGGTGACCCAGGGCTGGTGCAGGAACCAGGGACCCACTGGGAGGCTCCCAGGCAGCCTTGCCTCCGGGCATCTGCCCTGAACTTGTTCTGGTGTCACTAGGAAATTGGTCATCGAGAAGTACACATTCTCCCCCTGGAAGGCAGGGGTCAGGGTTGGCCCCTGCTCGGCTCCCTCGATGGGAGAGGACAGAGGCTGGCAGTTGGGTTTGTGAGGGAAGGGCTCCTGCTCCATTGAGTCATCAACTCTGTGCCCCCGGAAAATGCCCCCAGTGAGGGACAATGAGGCAGAGACAGGAGGTAGGCTGGGTTTCTGGCCTTTTCTGAGCCCCTGTCTGCCTCTTTGGGGCAAGTTTTTTCAAACAGTCACTCTCATTCACTCAACCAGAATGTTCCAAGAGCCTCCTGTGTCTAGACACTGAAGATCCAGAGCTAAACTGTGCCCGGCACCCGCCAAGGCTAGTGGGGAGGGGTCCCTTCATTGCACCATGGCCAGGGGCCAGGGGAGCAGGTGGCGAGCTCTGCCTGGGACAGAGGCAGGGTGTCTGTGCAGAAGAGGAGCTGGCACCGTGTGCTGCCCATGACAGCTCTGCACGTTTGGGGGTATGCACACCCAGGAAGCAGGGGGAGGGCTGGGCAGAGGGCACAGGGGGTGGCAGCGGTCAGGATCTGCGGGGACTTGATGGCCACCATCAGGGAAAGGGAGCCTTCCAAGGGTGGCAAGCAAGGGCTGGCAGGCTCTGATGGCATCACCTGTGAAAGCTCAGCCTGGCTGCTGCATGGAGCACACCAGGGGGCCCACAAGAAGACCACAGGGACAGCGTGGGCAGCACAGAAAACAGTCAGGAGACGGAACGGACAGGAGGGAGGGACAAGGAGGTGTCGAGCCAGGTGCAGCTCTGGCACTGGGAGATGTCATGGCCTCATTGGGTGAAAAGAGACCACACTGGGAGAAGGAGGTTTCCCTTTGGACGTGGTGGGAGTGCTTCAGGAGGCAGCCATGCCATGGGCAGGTGGTCACTGGGCTACAGTTTGGGCATCAGCAGAACAGAGGTGGACCCTGGGGCTGTAGAGGATGTGGGTGGAGGGAGAAGGGGCCGGAAGTGCAGCATTGGAGGCACAGAGGAGGAGCCAGACCACAGGGCGCAGGTCAGGGAGGGGAGCATTCAGGAGCCCCAGGCCCTGGCCCCCAGGCCACTCCAGCCCTCTCTCAAGCTCAAGCCTTGAGTGCTGAGACCCTCCGCTCTCCCGGATGCACCTGCGTAATGCAGTACCTCTGGCCTGGCTTCCCGACGCGCCCCTTTGCCCTCCTGGAGACGTCTTACACACCCCTGAGAGCCCTGTCCAGGGCCACTCCTCTGTCAGGCCATTCCTGAGCTCAGCCCTGTAACAGTGCCCATACTCCCTCTGTCATCACATGTCCCCCTGCACACACTCGCTGCATGGGGGGGATTAGAGGTGTCAGCGCCAGGCAGCAGCACCAAGGCACCATCTGTGGTGGCTCCATGAAGTCGGCCACCTCCCACAGCCGGTTCCCCAGCTCCTTCCTCTGGGTCTAGGAAACCCCATTGAGTTTGGAGATGATGGAAACCTGGGGGTCCAGGTACTGCTCCCGGTAGCCTTTTTTGGTGAGGAAGGCCCACCTGGGGAGGAGGC